CACACAAACTGTACACCCTTTTTAGTTAGGTGCATGAGTGGTCCAGCTATCTTAGAGAACCCCTGGATGAACCTCCGATAATATCCCGCCAAACCGAGGAAACTCCGAATCTCGGTAGGTGAAGTAGGCTGTCCCACTCAACCATGGCTAAAACCTTGGCTGGATCTACTACTATCCCTCTTTTGGACACCACGTGACCTAGAAACTTCACTTCTTGCTGCCAAAATTCACACTTCTCGAACTTGGTAAATAACTGGTGTTCACGAAGCGTCTGCAATACTATGCAAAGATGTCTTGCATGATCGTCCTCCGACCGAGAATAGATCAAGATATCATCAATAAAGACAATAACAAATTGATCCAAATAAGCCCTGAAGACTCTGTTCATTAAGTTCATGAACACTGCTGGTGCGTTAGTCGTCCCGAACCGCATGACACGAAACTCATAAGAACCATATCTTATGAGAAACGCTGTCTTAGGAATATCCTGCTCCTTAACCCTCAGTTGATGATACCCAAAACGCAGATCAATCTTGGAGAAATATATGGCTCCCCTTAACTGATCAAACAAATCATCGATCCTGGGTAGCAGATACTTGTTACGAATAGTAACCTTGTTCAACTCCCTGTAATCAATACCCAGGTGAAGCGAATCATCCTTCTTCTTCATAAACAAAACTGGTGCTCCCCAGGGTGAAGTACTCCTATGAATGAAACCCTGGCTGAGTAATTGCCGAATCTAATCCCTCAGCTCTTTCATCTCTACTGGTGCTATCCTATACGGTGCCCTAGCAAAAGGCATAGTGCCTGGAACTAAGTCAATCACAAAGTCAATCTCGCGACTAGGTGGTAACCCTGGAATCTCCTGAAATATATCCAGAAAGTCCTGTACAATTGGTATATGATCCAATGATACAGTAACCTCCTCTTCTGTTTCCTCTTCCACATGGAACAAATACGTGTTACCGCTCCCATTAGAACGTGGCATAGCTACAACATACATATCCTAACCAGGTATGGTGAACACAATAGTCCTATCAAAGCAATTAACTTGGGTATGGTAGTGAGATAACCAATCCATCCTAAGTATCACGTCATAAGTGCGCATGTCCAGGACCAGTAGATTGGCTAGAAATCTCAGTCTGCCAACATCTAGTGTCACAGGCCCATCACTCTTCTATAAAATGACTGTATCGCCCAATGGTGTAGAAATACCCTGAGGTCTAGTGCATACCCTCGTCCTCATCCCAGATAAAACAATAAAAGTCCTAGCTACAAATGAGTGTGTAGCATCTGTATCAAATAAAACACGTCTATACAAACCATGAATAGAAAACTTACCCTCAACAGCCTGAGGTGCCTGAACATCCTGTGGCACGGGGTTGTACACCCTGCCATAGTGCAATTGCTGTTATGCCTGTCCTTGAGTCTGCGGCGGTGCCGGTAAAGCCAGATGTGTCTATCCCTGAATCCGTGGAACCTGTGGAGCTGGTAGAGGCACTGGCGCCCTCTGTCCTGGCTGTACATGTTGTCCCTGTCCCTGTCCTTGTCCTGCTTTAGGATACTGCCTGGTAGCATGACCATACTCTCCATAAGTGTAACAACTACCCTGGAAAGTACCAAATGGCCTCCACTGTCGGTTAGCCGGTGGCTGACCCTGTCCTACCTGTGGTCCCCCATTCGGCTGCCTCTGAATAAATGCCCTATTCCTGTGAGCATCTGAACCACCCTTGTGCTTCTTCCAAGGCTGTTGTCCCTGGAACTTGCCCTTGTCATTCTGTCGGTGACCATTTCCGTCCCCCTTTTTAGCTAACTGATTAGCAGAATCTATCTTACTACAATCTAAGCAGAGACTCGATACGCATATACACTCTAACCAACTCAACAATAACTACATAATCCGTATCTATATATATATATATATATATATATATATATATCCACACTATGGACTCTTACTGGACTATGATACGGGTCTCAACCTGAGTAGAAGGTAACATGCAAAACGCACCTGAGTGGGCATGACTACCTAAGCCTAACAGGGTACATCTCAACCAGCATAGCCAGTTACGTGTCCTATTGCATATACACTCCCTAACCGTTGACTCTGAGACTCAAGCTCAAGTCACAGTACCATAATAATATATTTAAAATCCGTTCACATTCATCCATAAGAAATCCAGTAAGTTGTTCAGCTTATTCAACCGCACAGATTTATACATAAGGAGGATTTTATTTTTGTGATCCATTCCCTTATTCCAAAGTAGGTAGGACTTAGCAATTTGAGCTAATCCAAACCTAGTATGTCACTGTCCCATACCGGTACATATAATCCAATCCATCCAACAGTTAGTAGAATACATAATTAATGCACATATCAACTGAACCATAATAAGCATAAATAGAAATATAGACTAACATACTTACTCCAGTAACTGATAAATCAAAATAATAAGACATATCAATTAATTCCATGATGAACACAAATTAAATAGATAAGCATCATGTTCATTCCATAACTCTGTTACAAATTATCTTACTTGAGCATGCAGATAATTTATTCCTCTCATCCATAAGACCATGACAAGTCTAATAAAAATCATATTTATTATCATACTTGTCCACTATTAATAACATCATATTAATAAAATTTCCACTCACAGAGAATAAATAAATTAAGATTCAGTAATTTAAAATTCCACTGTACTAAAATAAAACAACTTCCGTCGAGACTTACCAGTGTTCAAGCTATAAACACCTACTGGTTTATTAAGCATTAATCAACTCTCACAAGTGTTAACTATACTTAGACATCTCAAAACACCTAAGTATAGCTTCCTACAGAATCTGAAAATCCCAAAATCTGAGTTCCATAGCCAAACAAATTGTTGACAACATAAAACTGGAAGCCGGTTGAAGAGCCTGCTCTTTCCAAAGAAAGAGCCTGCTATTTCTTTCTTAGAGCTGGCTCTCCTAGTCTTGGAGGTGGCTCCAAGACCCCTTAGAGCCGGCTCCATGTTCCCATGGAGCCTGCTCTTTGCTCCAAAGAGCCGGCTCTTTGTAATCTTGAGCCGTCTCTTCTTTGTTCTTCATCCTTTTCGCGTCCGGCGATTTTCCGACGATCTGTTCTTCATCCCTAAGGTTCCTAAGTGTTTTAATTAGATTCCAGTGTGCTCAAGAAATAATTAAATTCCTTACTCACTCAACGACATTAATTATACATCAATTATGCCACAAGGAATTTAAACCGGGATAATTTCCATTCATGAACACCAACTGTTTTAGCAAATCAACCTTGCAACTAAATTACTTCTAGTGTTTCTCCAACATGTTATAGATCTACTAAAATTCATTATTCATCAATTTACATGAATTAAAATAGAATCTACACCAGAAAGAATTTAAAACAAAACAATATACAGTATATAAACACATCCAGTTTGTAAGCATCTAACTATGGAACCAGTTTAATTTTAATCCTTATTAAATCTTAGAGTTGTATTAAACGTGCAAAGAACACGAGCCTAAGGGAGAGAGTTAAGACAGAACTTACCTTTGAGATTTTTGTTCAAAATTTCTACGTCGTCTTCTAAGGTTCTGGCGATTCCGACTACAAAATTCCTCCTCTGTTCTCTCTCTCTGCCTCCACAGACGTGAATAGGTATTATTTTTTTTTTTATTTTTTTAAACCCTAAACAGACGTATCCTACATATTTATAGAGTTATACCAAATCCTAAATTAATTCAAGCCCCAAACTGAATCCTAATCGGCCCATAAAACTTAATTAAAACCTACGTCGGCTACAACCGTGATTTCTTAAAAGAGCCCTAATCTAAATCATTAAATGAAAACAAATAAGTGAATTAAAATAGTGACTCAAAGAAATAAAAATTATGACATTTAAACAACTTACCACGTTAAAAGTAAGCCAAATAACTCAACTAATTCACATAATTCAAGTAATTCAAATAATTCAAATAATTCAAGTAATTCAAATAATTCAAATAAACAATTAAATAATTAAAAATTCAATTGAAACAATAAATTAAATACCAGGACTATCCTTTTGAAATTAGGGGTATTACAAATCATACACCACTGCCACTAGCAATACAATACTCACCACCCTATATGGGTACTCATCACACAACGTTCTACCACGTTAACCATTGGATCCTATAATTAGTTTACAACCAACATCGGGCATGCCTTATTCATCCATACTAAGCTTTGATGTTCGCAAGGAAAACGGTCACTAGACCACTAAATATAATGAAGTCGGACCTCAACTTATTCCTCAATGAGTCACTCAGTTACCTAGCATACTCTCAAGTACTCAGGACATAAATCCCCAAAACAATATTTTCAATAATCAATTAATCGATCCATATACCTTTATCAGATACCTGTCCTTCCTAACATACCTCGTCACCCGAGACAAACTACATGAACCCACATTGTTACACTGACACAACACACAGTACCATGCTTTCACTGTCACTGACGAATCAAAATAATCATTGACCTTTGACCCAACATCATGCTAAAGATAGACTGATTTAGGAGAAATGGTTAGCCAGGCCATTCTCATCATTGATCTAGTCTCAACACAAACGCCGTTTCTATCCTCAGGTCCAAACCTCAATCACAATATCATATAGTCCACAAGATACTGTGAGATCCACTCACTATCAATCTATCGCATTACGTAACCCCAATAACCACACCATCACATACTTACTCTAAAAATCCCCAATCATGCCTCATGAAAATACCTCATAAGGCTATTTCTTTCCTATAACGCCAAAACCAGAATAAATTGTTTCCATTATTCCTCTAAAGAATCCCACATTTATTTCTCTAACTACATAGTGTCAAACAACACCAACACCCATCTCAAGGCACTACTCAATCCAAACAACATGAAAACATTCGAGTACACTACTGTGATACCCCTCGGATCCGAGACATGGGTTGATCAGGCCCAAGCCCAAACCCGAGGGAATATCAAGCAATTAAAGTATTTTAAAATGAACACAGATGATAAAATGAAATAATAAAGATGGAAATAAAACTGAAAGAACATTTAATTATAATAAAACCCTCCATGTAACTGAAAATTGAAACTCCAATCCTCCAAAACTTCAAGGTTACAACTTGGGAATCCACAGATGGACCCCTAACCAAAAGTTCAACCGAAACTGAAAACTGAAAATAGATAATGCTAAAAACATCGAGAGAAGTCCTACGTAAACAAATGAAGGTGAGACTGTCCTCGACAAGCACGATCAAGCTCTAAGGCTGGAACCGTCCTGTACCTGAAAAGAATAATGAAGGAGTGGGTCAGACCCACGAGCAAGTTCTAATCTAACTGCAATCCATACAGTGACCCGATACGCAGATACACCGTAGACACCTCACAATATCTATCTAGTCCATATATATAAATATATCCACACTAAGGGACATTCACTAGTCTATAATAGGGGTCTCAACCTGAATAGAAGGCAACATGCGAATACGCACCCAGAGGTGGGCATGAGTACCTAGACCTAACAGGGTACACCTCAACCTATTATAACCAGCTACACATCCACTGCATATACGCACCCTAACCAATGAGCCTGAGACTCAAGCTCAACTCGTGGTACCGTAAACATATATATAAAGTCCGTCCAAATCCAGGGTATGCAGTTCAACTATTTATTAAATTGACATACAATAAACCAACTTGTTAGTGACTCAACTTATTCAGTTGATATGACTTAACTACCATCCGTTAATCCAGGAAGTCATCTAACTTGGTTACAGCTGATCTGACTTAGTCACAATTAGGATTTGATATCTTTCAATCCATTCTATTAATCCATTAGGTTAGGTTTATGCGTTTTGAGCTAAACCGTCCCTAGTATGTCACCGTCCCATACTGGTACATACAATCCTCCATATCCATGTAAATTACAACATATATAACAGTTCAATAATTTACGGACAAAAAACCACCATCCAATAATTGCAGAAGGAATCTTAACAATCTAGCAAATAAAATCCAGTAGTAATCCATGTAATTGCATCGAAGAATAAACTATTCTAACAATTAACATCCAACACATGCATAGTTCAAATTTAATAAAACAATGACCCTATCATGTATTTACAATTAGTTCTATAATACTATTATAGTCCAATAAATCGCTAAATTAAACCAAGCGATCTAGTTCCCTCCATCCGGTAACAGAGTACTAAGTCATATACTTATATTTTGTTGTATCCTTTAGCACAGAGCCCCCACTATGCTACAAGTCCAATATATTACTTTAAAAGACTTCATCGTGCATCTAAAATAAATTTAAAATCATTTTATAGCACCCTAAACCGTCAGATTAAAATTAATCAACAAATCCCCTTTCAGCCGTTAACTGTACACAAAGTTGTCAAATAGCGTACTGTTAATTCTATTTAAAACTAAGGGGTAAATTTATGCAATTCAAGACCTTAGTTACATGTTAAAATTATTATTTAAACACCCAATTAAAATTTTAAAACTGATTAATGACCCAGAATGCCCAAACAGTGACAAAAGTATTAAAAAGTGCCGTAAAAACAAATTCCAAAACTCATACAAGGTTGGAGCCTGCTCTAAAAAGAAAGAGCAGGCTCTTTCTAACTTGGAGCCGGCTCCACATTCCCTTGGAGCTGGCTCTTGTTGAAGGAGAGCTGGCTCTTGCTTTCCAGAGCCGGCTCTCTCTCTCTTGAGAGCCTCCCGTTCTGTCTCTGCTTCGTTTCAGCTCATCTTCTCCATCTCCGATCCAGTCCTAACCCACTATTGGTCTCTAAAACTAATTTTAGAAGTTTAATTAACACCCAGTAGCTTCCTATTAATTTAATTACAGTAACTAGAATCAATTACCAGGACTACATTTGAATTAAAATGGCTACTGAACTGCATATACTTTAAAACCAAACTGAAACGGATTTACGACAACAGTTCCCTTCCAACCCATTTGTTCTTCCTCTAAATTTGAATTTAAAGGACTTAAATTACATCTAATATCCAATCAGATCTTGGTTCATCGCAGTAAGGTTCAAAACCAAAAGTAAAACCGTGGAACGTTTCATGCCAAAACAGAGACAAAGAAAACATACATACTATAATTGTTTGGTAAATAAAATCTCATAGATAAAACGATCAAGTAAAATATATATAAAACATGCATGATTCAGTTTAAGGCCAATTAATCTCTTAGAGACTGTCCAGGTGCACAGAACACAAGACAAAGGGAAGGAGGAAGATAAGAACTTGCCTGTAGCTTTAGACTCAAAACTTGTCGCCGTCGTCCTAACTTCCGGCAACCACAGACTACCTTCTAGCCTCCTCTGGTTCTAGTCTAATCCACCAAAATCCTCCCTTGGTACTCACTGTTCTTCTCCTTGACAATTCTTACAATGCCTCCGTTCCCAACCCTCTGTGCTGAGAACTTACTTCACGTTTATGTAATCTGATTTATGATTTTAAAACCTAGGCTACAGCATAATGGTTGCATTTATAGGTTTGATTCTAAAACCCTAATCCTTGTAATTTTAGAGACTGGGCCCTAATCTTAATCCTAGTCGGCTCATGAAACTATCTCTGTTACGGCTTACCTATACGTGAAATTCCAACCCCAATGTTAACTGTAACTTAAAACATAATTAAATTAAAACTCAATTAAATAATTAAATACACTTAACCAATTAAGTAATAAAAGATAACACATGTCACATAGGTAAACAATTAAATCAAATTAATAAATAAAATAAACACATGTCACATAGGTAAACAATTAAATCAAATTAATAAATAAAAAAAATAATTAAACCAAATAATCACCCAAAAATACAATAAAAAATAATAAATAAATGCCGAGACTATCCTTTTAAAATTAGGGGTATTATATTCTTCCCCCCTAACAAAAGGAATTCCGTCCTAGGAATTCACTCTTACCTTCTTCCAATATTTCAGGAAACTGCGAGCGAATGACATCCTCCCTTTCCCAAGTGGACTCAGCCTCATTGTGATGACTCCACTGCACACGAACCAAAGGGATAACCTTATTGCGAAGGATTTGATCCCGACGGTCAACAATACGACACGGTGGCTCCAAATATGTTGCATCCGGCTGCAACTCAATCTCCCCAACATCGATATTCTGATACCGATCCTCATTGCACAGAAATTTTTGCAATATGGAAACCTGAAACAAGTTGTGAACGCGATCCAAGTTATCCGAAAGTGCCAACCGATAAGCCACAGCTCCCACTCGATCCGTAATCATGAATGGACCGACAAACCGCGGAGACAACTTCCCTTTCTTCCCAAAGCGCATAACACCCTTTATAGGAGATACTTTGAGAAGAACCTGATCCCCAACCCGAAACTCCAAAGCTCGAGTGCGACGATCAGCATAGCTCTTCTGCTTACTTTGGGCAGTACGCATACGATCTCGAATAAGAGCAATTTTTTCAGAGGTATCCTTGATGAACTCAGGACCTAAGAATCGATTCTCTCCAACCTCCATCCAACAAACAGGTGATCGACATGGTCACCCATATAACACCTCAAAAGGTGCCATCCCAATAATCTTCTGGAAACTATTGTTATAAGCAAACTCCACAAGTGGCAAATATTCCTCCCAGTGGCCCTTGAAATCCGAAACACAGGACCGAAGCATATCTTCCATAATCTGATTCACCCTCTCAGTCTGTCCGTCAGTCTGAGGATGATAAGCAGTACTAAGGTGTAACTCCGTACCTAAAGCCTGCTGAAAACTTTTCCAAAATCCAGATACAAAGCTTGAATCCCTGTCCGATATAATAGACAATGGAATGCCATGCAGCTTCACAATCTCTGAAATGTAAAGCCTCGCCAACTGCTCCGAAGTGTAGTCAGTGCAAATAGGCAAGAAATGAGCTGACTTGGTCAACCTATCCACAATGACCCATATGGAATTATGCCCCTTGAAAGAATTTGGCAACCCTTCCACAAAATCCATAGATATGCTCTCCCATTTCCACTCCGGAATTGGTAGTGGTTGTAGAGCTCCTGGCGGCCTCTGATGATCAATTTTAACCATCTGACAAGTACTACACTGAGAAACAAAAAGAGCAATGTCCCTCTTCATACCTGCCCACCAAAACTGCCGCTTCATATCTTGATACATCTTATCGCCTCCTAGATGAACAGAGAACTCAGAGTGGTGAGTCTCAGTCATCACATCCTTCCTCAAATTATCAGCAGAAGGTACTACTATACGCCCTTTGTACCTCAAACCTCCGTCAGCCCCAACATAGTAAAATGGAACCTCTCCAGAAGCTATCTCTACAACCTTGTCAATGCACTGCTGATCCGTGAGTTGTGCTTGTAAAACCTTGCGAATGATGGAAGGTGTAACCACCATGCAAGCCATAAAAGTATCTGATAACTCATCCACACTCTTTAAAGCATTCCACTCAGTAGTGAATAAAGCAGAAAGATTACCAACAGGTCGGCGACTGAGTGCATCCGCCACCACATTCGCTTTCCCTGGATGGTACTGTATAGAAAAATGATAGTCCTTTATAAACTCCAACCACCTGCACAGTCTCATATTCAGCTCCCGCTGTGTGAACAAGTACTGCAGACTCTTGTGATCACTGAATAATCTGAAGGACTTACCCAACAGATAATGCCTCCAAATACGCAAGGCAAAGACCACTGCTGCCAATTCCAAATCATGTGTTGGATAATTAAGCTCATAATCCTTAAGTTTCCGAGATCTATAAGAAATCGGTCGCTCCTCCTGCATCAATACACATCCAAGACCCTACAACAAAGCATCTGTGTAAACAAGATACTCTATCCCGCTCTGCGGAGTAGCCAGAACCGGTGCAGAAGTCAGCTTCCTTTTCAGCTCATCAAAAGCTCGCTGACAGTGTTCATCCCACACGAACTGTACACCATTCTTGGTCAGATGAGTGAGTGGTCCTGCTATCTTGGAGAACCCCTAGATGAATCTCCTGTAATATCCTGCCAGACCGAGAAAACTCCTGTAATACCCCTAGTTTTCAAAAGGATAAAATGGGGATTTAATTTTGATTTTTATTGTATCTAAGTGACTTATGTACTTTTTTTTGACTAATTGTGTTTATTGTATTTGTTTAAATTAATTGATTGATTAATTGTGTGTTTAAATTAATATTAAGTGTGTTTTATTTTATTATTCATTTGACTTGAAATTGTATGTGTGTTCTGTGTGGTTTTTAGCCATAATTATTTATTTATTTTTCCCTAATTATGTTT